GAAGCATGCATTCGGGTGTATCAAGATTTGGTCTTGGGTCCGATGCTCTTTAACATTTTTTTAAATAATCTAGATGAGTGGATAGAGGGGGAAATCATTAAATTTGCAGGTGACACCAAGCTGAGGGGGGAATTGCTAACATTTTGGAAGATAGACTCAAGATTCAGAAGGGTCTTGACAAACTTGAGCATTGGGTCCTATTCAACAAGATGCAGTTCAGACGTTAGAAAAGTAAGGTTCTGCCCTTAGGCATATAACCCCCAAAACACACATACACACACACACACACACATACAAAAAAAAAAACAAGTGAAGATGTATTGTCCAAGGAGCATGATAATTTTTATTTATTTTATTTTATTTTATTTTATTTTATTTTATTTCTATACCTCCCTTCTCCTGCGGGACTCAGGGCGGTGTACAGCCGAGATAAAACATAGCATATAAAATTTAAAAAACAATTTTAAAAACAATTAAATAATTTTGGCCCAAAATTTAAAACAACCCAATTAAAACCGAATTCAGTTAAAAACTGAGAGGATGGAATCAAGCCAGCCTGGCTAGATGGAATAAGTGTGTTTTCAGGGCCCGACAAAAAGTCCGGAGGTCTGATATTGTGTGTATCTCAGGGGGCAGGACATTCCAGAGGGCAGGTGCTCTGGTAGGTAAAATGAGGACCCAGTTTGTGGGGGCAATAAGCTGACTTTGTATAAATATACAAAAGTATGAAGGCTATTGCTTAACGCATTGTAAGCCGCCCTGAGTCTCCGGAGAAGGGTGGCATATCAATTAAAGCAAAACAAACAAACAAACAAACAAATAAGTGTGCTACAGCTGAAGAAAAAAAAAACTAACACAGTTCTGGGCTGCATAAACAGAGGGATAGAATCAAGATCATGTGAAGTGTTAATATCACTTTATAATGCCTTGGTAAGGCCACGCGTGGAATACTGCATCCAGTTTTGGTCGCCATGGTATAAAAAAGATGTTGCAACAAGAAAGAGCAACAAAGATGATTAGGGGACTGGAGGCTAAAACATATAAAGAATGGTTGCTGGAATTGGATATGTCTAGTTTAATGAAAAGAAGGACTAGGGGTGACATGATAGCAGTGTTCCAATAGCTCAGGGGTTGCCACAAAGAAGAGGGAGTCAAGCTATTCTCCAAAGCACCTGAAGGCAGGACAAGAAGCAACAGATGGAATCTAACCAAGGAGAGAAGCAACCTAGAAGAAATTTCCTGACAGAACAATTAACTTGCCTCCAGAAGATGTGAATGCTCCAATATTGGACGTTTTTAAGAAGAGATTGGACAACCATTTGTTTGAAATTGTATAGGGTTTCAAATTAAGCCACCAAACGCTAAAAAGGGAACGGGTATCTAGGATAGCTCCTTACCCTGTTCCTTATTGCTATGACTTCATACCGGAAGTCTGGACTCTGTTATTCTATTCTAATATACCTTGATTCTGTGGAGAAAAACCAGGGAAAGATGATGCTTCAAAGAAAGATTGACAATTGTGTCAATCCTAGAAATGTCCTGCTTTCTCTTCCCTCTCCCCCAACACAAACACAATTACACACACACGAGAGAGAGAGAGAGAGAGAGAGTATGGGAGAGAGGGGGGGAGAGATGCTAATTTTTGAACTCCATTTCAGCAATTAAACCTCTCAATGTCTCAGGAATTGTGGAAGGGATGAAATGAAAGGGACATAATGAAAGATTGTCTGGGGTGTTGGTTCTCAAATCAAACCCAACTAAAACAGGCTTCCAGAGATTACAACATGGACATTTTATTGTAGAGCTTTGAAGAATTGGAAATGTAAAGAACACAAAGAGACATTTTATCATGCTTAGTGGACACATAAATAAGCTTACACATTTGGATTCAAATACATACATTAATACAGAGAATATTAATGATAGATATTCAATTGAAGCCAGAATGCTTTATTTGAGGATTGAGGGATGAAAAGTTAGAAAAATGCTGTAGATGATTATTTCAATATATTTCAATATATGATTATTGTGGTGAGATTACTACATTCAGAAAGTTGGAAACATCCACCCATTGACAGAAGTTGTTGAGATGGGCAAACTGATTGGAGAAAGGGTGAGATTTACATTTATTGATTACTGAAACAGACTTATTGACTTTTTGCATAAAAAGACCCTCAAAAAAAATATGAACCTGCAATTTATGGTTTTAGCGATTGGACAGGATAGATTAAAGAAAATGGAAAGTTGCATTTTAACTTTAGTCAGAGGTTAAAATATAATTACAATTGTAAAGAACATTGGAAGCAACTTCTTTATACCTCTATATCTTTATTTATATCTTTCTCTTCTTGCACCTGCCTTGTAATCATTTCAACCAAAATTGTTGGCCTGCTTAGGTACGGAGAGCAGCTTGGACCATTTTCTAAGTGTAGCTTGTTGGAAAATGCTGAGACTTGAAATTCCTCTGTCTCACATTTCTTCATTTCTTCTGGTTGTAAGCTGATCCTTCCTATTCAGGTCTGGCCTCAGAATGATAATGTAGCATTTGGGAATGAAGATGCAACCCAGCAGCCCAGCATTGGAGGCCAAGATGGAGAAGACCTGAACAGCCACCATGTATTTCCCTTTGGTGCTCAGGTAGGTGGGCACAAATGTCACCCAGACACTGCAGAAGACCAGCATGCTGAAGGTTATAAGCTTGGCTTCATTAAAAGCCCCAGGCAGGCTCCTGGCCAGGAAAGCCACTATGAAACAGATGGCAGCCAGGAAGCCCAGGTAGCTGAGGGTGATGTAGAACATGACAACAGAGCCTTCATTGCATTGCAGGATGACAACTCCAGGTTGAGAGTGAAAGTCAAAGTCAGGGAATGGGGGAGAAATGCCAAGCCAAATGGAGCAGAGGGTAATTTGGACAGCAGAACAAGAAAGGATGATGGAGTTGGCCAAGCTCTTTCCCAACCATCTCTTCACTCGGTTTCCTGGTTTTGTGGCCAGAAAAGCCAGCACCACTGTGACTGTCTTGGCCAAGAGAGAAGAATTGGCAACTGAGAAAGTGATGCTGAAAACTGTTTGTCGGAGAAGGCAGGTGACTTTCCTTGGTTGACCAATGAAGAGAAAAGGAGACAAGAAGCAAAGCAGGAGGGAGACCAGGAGGATATAAGAGAGGTCACGATTGTTGGCTTTGACAATGGGAGTTTCTCGATATTTAATGAATATGATTAACTGAAACACTGTAGTTAGGAACAAGAATAGAGCAAAAGAGACCAGGATGATGCCCAGATATTCTTCATACAATAGGAAGGATTCAGTTTTGGGGATACATTGGATTCTGTCCTCATTTGGATATTTATCATCCAGACAGTTTATGCATTGTTCCGTATCTGAGAAAACAACAAAGCAATATTTCTTTAACTTTCTGACCTTTTATATTTCAAGAAATACCTTCTTGCGACAATAGCTGATACCACAAGCATTTTCAAAGAAGCATTTGTTAAGAGCTGAATCAAAAAAAGATTCTGAAGAATAGAATTTTCTATCTCTATGTCTGTCTGTCTGTCTGTCTGTCTATATCTATCTATCTATCTATCTATCTATCTATCTATCTATCTATCTATCTATCTATCTATCTATCTATCTATCTACTCTCTCTCTCACTCTCTCTCTCTCTCTCTCTCTTATATCTATTTATCTCAGCCTCTATCTCTATTATCTCTCTCTCTCTACCTCTCACCTCTATCTATCATCCATCTATCTATCTATCTATCTATCTATCTATCTATCTATCTATCTATCTATCTATCTATCTATCTATCTATCTATCTATCTATTATCTCTCTCTCTCTCTCTTATATCTATTTATCTCAGCCTCTATCTCTATTATCTCTCTCTCTCTACCTCTCACCTCTATCTATCATCCATCTATCTTCTATCTATCTATCTATCTATCTATCTATCTATCTATCTATCTATCTATCTATCTATCTATCTTGCTGATATTGCTGAGGTCTACCAAATTTGGGGAAGTTCTAGGAAATGAATAATTTCCTTTGTAATGTGCAGAACCTTTATAGGAAGCAAGAGCCTTGGTGGCGCAGCAGACTAAAGTGCTGTTAAGTAGCACCAGCTGCCTGCAATTACTGCAAGTTCAAATCTCACCAGGCTCAAGGTTGACTCAGCCTTCCATCCTTTCGAGGTAGGTAAAATGAGAACCCGGATTGCGTGGGCAATAAGCTGACTTTGTATAAAAAAGAACACCGCTTGGGGGGGGGGCGAAAGCCCTACAAAGCAGATATATACAAAAGTATGAAGGCTATTGCTTAACGCATTGTAAACCGCCCTGAGTCTCCGGAGAAGGGCGGCATATAAATTGAACCAATAAATAAATGAATGAATGAATGAATGAATGAATGAATGAATGAATGAATGAATGAATAAATAAATAAATAAATAAATAAATAAATAAATAAATAAATAAATAAATAAATAAATAAATAAATAAATAAATAAATAAATATTGGAAGTAAAAAAAAAATGAAACAAGTAAATTTTCTAAGCAAACATCCTGAGTCCTGCCAGATGACACTTGTTAATATACTAGATCCTGAGGATGTTTTATCTTACAAAACCTAGTTATCTCACAGAGAAAATTAGTCCTGCAAATAACCAGAAATGGCTGCTGGCAGCAATGATGAAATGTGTCAAATGAGGTGCACCCATAATTGTCCACTTCACTGTGGACCACCAACACCTTCCCGGTGATCCTCAAGGGGAGGCCCATGGAGAATGTATCAAAATAAGCCTTCCAGTAGATGGACCTAAAACAGTTCCTTGAGTTTCAATGAACTCAGGTGTTCCTAGGGATATAAATGTGGAAGATCACATTCAAAAATAAAAAGCAGAAGAGATATTATCTCTGGCTATAATGAAGCTTGCTCAATATTTCACACAACCATGTCTCTATCCAACTTCTTCTTTAAGGTTTTTTTTTTTTTTTTTTTTGCTATTCTTTCCTATAGATCATAAATTGTGCAGTATGGAAATTAACAAGAAAGCAGCTGAGCTTCAAACTGTCTTTTAATTTGCAGTTCCATATAAACACTCTGGATTAGGGCTGTCAAACTCATGGCTCGTGTGCCAGATGTATCACACACTGGCCACACCCCTGCCCAGTTACCAAAGGGAAAAAAAGTCCCGATGTGATGGTACGATGATGACGTGAGTTTGACACTCTTGCTCTGGATGAATCCACTTCCACAAGTCCTTCCATTATCTTCAGCATGAGCACCTTCTTGAATGGAGATAGTCCCCTCTGGACAAGGAACACAGTCATAGCAGCAAACTGGCTCTCCTTCTCGAGCTCGTTTGACAAATCCAGGTTGACATTTCCCCACACATTTGGACTGAGGAAGAGACTAAGCAGAAAAAACAAGGATTTTTTTTTAAAAAAAAAAACCACTAGCGTTAACCAGCCTGACATGCTGACAGGTTCTTGAAATAAGATTTAAAGTGACTGCTCAGTTTCTAGAACTGTAGTGATATGAGATAGAGGTGAGGTCATTAGGACATGTCCCTCAAAATGAACAAGTCAGGCATCTTTTGCTGCAGCATCTGGGACATGAATACAAGTTGTCAGAAGGAGATTTTTATAAGGCTCAACTAGATATCCAAGACAAGATCCTTTCTGCTGAAGAACTTCAATAAGGTAACAACAACTGGCATGGAATAGCAAATTTGTTCCATGACAATAACAATAACAATATGTTATTGAATAATAACATATCTGCATTACAAATTTGTATAACTATTATAAAACTAGAGGTGGTATTCAGCCAGTTCGAAGCAGTTTGGGTGAACTGGTAGCGGAAATCATGGGTGGCAACTTGTTCCACTGATTAATTGTTCTAACTGTCAGGAAATTTCTCCTTAGTTCTAAGTTGCTTCTCTCCTTGATTAGTTTCCATCCATTGCTTCTTGTCCTGCCCTCAGGTGCTTGGGAGAATAGCATGACTCCCTCTTTGAGGCAGTCCCTGAGATATTGGAACACTGCTTTCATGTCTCCCCTAGTCCTTTTCATTAAACTAGACATACCCAGTTCCTGCAACCATTCTTCATATGTTTTAGCCTCCAGTCCCCTAATCATCTTTGTTGCTCTTCTCTGCACTCTTTCTAGAGTCTCCACATCTTTTTTACATCATGATGACCAAAACTGAATGCAATATTCCAAGTGTGGCCTTACCAAGGCATTATAAAGTGGTATTAACACTTCACGTGATCTTGATTCTATCCCTCTGTTTATGCAGCCCAGAACTGTTTTGGCTTTTTTTTTTTGGCAGCTGCTGCACACTGCTGGCTCATATTTAAATATCTTGACTGCCCTTTCATGGGACACTCAACCCCAACAAGGACAAGGTGAATCCTGATTACAAAGCTTATTTCCCACTGGAACCAAAAGGACCTATATCCAATCTAAAGTCAATTTCATTGAATTCAATCCAAACCTGAACTCAGGCACTGGTCAACAAAATTGCCTTCTTCTTTTACAACTGGAGGACAGCCTGAGGCTATCATTCCTAGCACTTGAAGGTCTTTTATCATCTTCACATGGCTTCTCCATTTCAACTGTAAGCCATGGTGCATAGGCTTAGCCCAATGAAATGGATCACAGTCCTTTGGAAAAGGGAGAAAAGACATCAATGTTTCTCTTACCCTGTTACGCGACTTTAGCCATGACAAGTGAGCTTGGTTGATAATGATCCTCTGTCTTTCAAAAGTCACCACTTTCTCTTTGATGAGATACTTCTCCGGGAAAAACACCCAGCTCACAATCTTCAGGTTAGCTGCTAAATCTCCATTTTGGTCCAAGTACAGTTCATATATGGAAAGATTGAGAAATTCAGTCTTCTCCAGAAAGGGATGGAACTAGAATGGGAACATCCAGGAATTTTAAAATTAGTAAACAATTATCCCTTTTTGTCTGTTCTCACTTGAATCTTTCTTCTATTACAGTGGTCTTATTTGGAAGAACAGGTTTTACCCAGTGGTGAAATCCATTTTTTTTTACTACTGGTTCTGTGGGCATGGCTTGGTGGGCGTGGCAGGGGAAGGATACTGCAAAAATCTCCATTCTCTCCCCACTCCTGGGGGAAGGATATTGCAAAATCTCCACTGCCACCCTTCTCTGGGGCCAGTCAGAGGTGGTATTTGCCGGTTCTCTGAACTACTCAAAATTTCCACTACTGGTTCTCCAGAACCTATCAGAACCTGCTGGATTTCACCCCTAATGTCAACTTGCAAAGCTTTCAAGTTGCCATGAGCAGGAGGGAGGGAGAACTGATAGAGCTGATTGATTTCCCTAACTGAAGCTACATTCCATACATGCTTTCTTTCTGCAAACAGAAGAAGAGTGTTGAATTTCACAATCAGCCAAATGATTAATCGGAGAATGTGATTTATGACATGGCCAGGGAGGAGAGGAGAGATAGGGTCATAGGGGAATGTAAATCTACGTGGGATTAGTTCTAACTGCATCCAAATATTGCCAAAATGGTGCTCCTAATAAATGACTGTATTTCTTTTGAAGTTTGGCTCATGGCTCATGAATTAATTAGGGCATCTTTTGGAAACTTCACACCTGGTTTTGTTTATTGTTTATTAAATTTGTATACCGCCCTACTCCCGAAGGACTCAGGGTGGTGAACAGCCATAAAATAAAACATGTAGATACAAAATTTAAAATAGAGATAAAACAAATTAAATAAATTTGGCTGAACCATTTTAAAACCCCAATAATTTAAAACCAAATTAAAATTCCCATTTAAAAAGAGGAAAAGTTTAGGTCAGGCCAGATTTTTTTACCACTATCTTCAAAAATGAAAAAGAAAAATGCAGCAAAATTTGTCAATCATATACTGCCAATTTATGTATTGAAAAAAAATGATAATTTATAAAATTTGTCAATGATAGGAAACATTCTAGAGCAGATCACAGATAAATTACACAAATGAAGAGAATATTTATAAATTCATTGAAAACAACAGGTGATTACTGGAAAGCATGGATTTGTTAAGAAGAAAGTTGCCAGGCTAATATTTTCCCAGAAGACTATACTGGAAACCTATCCAGACCAGCTAATTTTACATTATTGTAAGATTACTGTCAGATTAATTTTATTTTCATATGATTTTTATAGGGTGAGCTTTTTATACAGCTCCCCATAAAAAAAAGAACCCCTTAAGCACTAAAACCTGACCCAAAGGTACATTTTTCAAGAGGCAACGGGAGTTTCTGGTTTTTATTTGAAGACATTTCACTTTTCATCCAAGAAGCTTCTTCAGCTCTGACTGGATGGTGGGGAATGGAAGGATTTAGACTCCTTGCAGACAGGTGGTCAAATCCTGGTGAAATGGAATTTCATGACCACCAGTTAAGTGTTTTTCCGCTGAGACCGGTCTATCAAGGCAATCTGGTCCACCCAAATATGGGACAGAGCATACTGCTTTCACCTTTCAGCCCCAATCCAGGAGCCTTCGCAGGCAGTCACTTCTAAATGTGAATTCTCAAAATCAGTTAGATTAAATTCTTTCTTCCTGAATATAAGAGCCTTTTTCTTGGTATGTAATCCAATAGCTTTATCAATATTACAAGCATTAACAAACATTGATAAATTTCATTTTCATCCCTCAGACACCTTTCTTTTTCAACATTGCTCCCTAATAAGATTCTAAATTAAACATTTATCCTCTTTATTCCTTCATAAACCAATTATCATTTTCTAACTATTCAGCATTAAAAATTCTAAATTAAACATTTTAAAACTTTAAACATTTTATCACCTATACCTTTTAAAATAGTATAATCTTATATTAAACATTTTAAAAACCCTCTTTATACATCAATAAGACCTTCTTAGTTCATTCCTCAAAATATAAATTTCAAAACCTTCAGGAAACTATCCCTTAAATTTTTAATTAACCATTTCTATATTTTTTCCAGTCCTTCTTCCTCAATCAACATTGCTCCCTAATGAAGTTCTAAATTAGACATTTATCCTCTTTAATCCTTCATAAAATTAGACATTTTAAAACTTTAAACATTTTATCTCATATACCTTCTTAAAGTACTATAATCTTATGTTAAACATTTTAAAAATCTCTTAATACATCAATAAGACATTAAATCATTTCTCAAAATATAAATTTCAAACCCTTCAGAAAGGTGTCCCTCAAATTTTTAATTAACCATTTTGATACCTCGATAACTCTTAAAAAGCTATCATTTTTACCTCGATAACTCTTAAGAAGCTATCATTTTTATATCCAGAACCAATTGTAATGACACACACCCTTTAAATTATTATCTTAGAATAAACTTTAAAAATACAAATTTAATTAAGCTTCTCAACCTATTGCCAAAATCCTCCCCAAAAAAGATGAATCTTCAGTTCTTCCCTTCTTTCTGTATTTTTTCCAGTCCTTTTTCTTCGATAATTCTTTCTTCTTCAGCATTGCTCCTCCTCCTGCTTTTATTTTTTGAGAATTTTAAAATTTGGATTTGAGGTTGATGTCTCTTTGAAAGTTTTTGAATTTCATTTAATTTGAAACCCCCATAAATCTCTCTCAAGTCCTCCTGATTAAACTCTTCCAGATTCCTTTGCTTTCCCCTCTTGGTCTGGAAAGCATCCTTTTTGTCCAAAGTCACATTAAACTGAGTTTCTGCCCCATATAGAAATGATACTATATTCTCCTTTGTCTCCATGTTTTGAGTCAAAATGGTTTCCTCTTCCTGAGACCTTTCATCAAAAAAACCTTTAAGACTTTCCAGTAAAGCAGTGGTTTGTGACTCAAAAATTTCATGTATTATAGCTCTTATTTGTGTATTTGCTGGTGTGTGTAATAATAGTCCTTCAGCACTTTCAAAGGTGCCAGCCATTTTCTTTTTTTCTTTTTCCAAAGTCCAGTTATTTTTAAATTTGTTCAGCTATCAGGTCAATAAATCCAATAATTTCCCACACAATTTAGAAGTATAAAGTAGTTAAGATCAATACCATAGTCTTTTTCATTTCACTAGCACTTTAAATCTTCTTCTTGCCACGTTTACAATGTTGCAGCTTTAACGATCACTTTCACTTGTAACTTTCATTTTAAAATGCCCTTAAGCACCATCTTTTTTGCTTTTTCTTTTAAACGGAGTTAAAGTTTAATACTTGCATTTCGTGTTCTCCTGATTTGCTCTGCCAGCATCCAGATTTGAATTTTCTCATAATCCTTAAAATTGTGCTGCTGGTGTGGTCGCGACCCCTTGTTCTGCTTAAAGCAGAATCGTCCCGGATCCGGAGCACTGAAGAGCTTTCAGGGAGCTCTCACCCTGCAAACCCCAGGCTTAGAAAAAAAGCCTGGGGGTCTAGGGGAGCTCTACCCAGACCCTTCTGCTCTTCTCTCCACCTTTTTCCCTGGAGGAGAGTTTTGAGCTGCTAGAACAGCTGATTTTCACTGTTCTAGCGGCAAACAGAATCACGGGGCTGGAGCTCCTGAAGGAGCATCCATTCGGGGAACATGGAGCCACCGGAAGTCCCCACCACGTCCCTTTCTGACTGAATACGAGGGGGAAAAAAGCTTCTTAAAAGAGGGAGAGTTTTAGTGGTGAGCCAGAGAACCAGAGAATTTCAGTCTCCCCTTCACTTATTGTCTTAATCCAAAAACTGAGCAGCCATCAGTCAGAGAAGCTTTAATTGGGATTCCTGCGGAGATGAGAGGCTGAGCTACGTTGAGTGGAAGATTCCTGCAAATGTATAAAGGTAAAATTCTATAATGCTAATCATAAATCCATATGTACAGGAACTTGTTTAAAAATGCACACATGTTTTAAATATTAGCAGTGTTTAATATCAAACAATATCGGTCATAGTTCCTGCTCTTGTGAACACTATCACCTGAGTAATTACTTTGGCCAAACCTTTTGGCATTCTGTAGCACAACTAGAATGAGAATGATAAGGTAGCTCAAGTGGCTAAGACACTGAGCTTGTCGATCAGAAAGGTCAGCAGTTCGGTGGTTTGAATCCCTAGTACAGGTCTCCTGCATGAGCAGGGGGTTGGACTAGATGACCTCCAAGGTCCCTTCCAACTCTGTTAATGTTAATATAGTTCCCTTCCTTCTCCTTTGGATTTCTTCTCAAAAGGAAATTGTTGAATGGATCCTTGTCGGGACCCCTTACCTCCCACGGCTGCAGTCTCGGAGCCCCCAACCTTTCTTTCACCTTCTTCCTTCTCCTCCTGGATCTGGAGGAATACGCAGCATTCAAGGCATGGGCTAGAGTGTTAACGGCAGTGTAAAAATGGTGGACATTGTTGATTGCAATCATGTTCTTTTCCTTTTGGGTGCCCAGTGGATCTTTCTCAATGCATCTTTTCCGGCCTTTGACAGAAAAGACGTGCTTTGAAAAAAGACAAAGAAATGACTGTTCTCCTAAGGGTGGGTTCACTAAGAAACTGGGTTCAAAGGCATCATTTGTCTGCCATTTTTTTTCCTCTAAAGCAACAGTCCAGATACTATTAATATATTTGAGATGTCTGTCATTTTTCAGTGGAAATAGTCCAATGAGTGTGGTGATCCAGACTTTCTCTTCAACGGGTCCTGGCAAATGCATAAATGTTAAATGGAAAGGAAGAATTCTGTCCAAAACGGCACCATATTCTATATAGTGAAGAAAGACATTGACTTGTCTCCATTTAGAGAGGGCATTCCTGATGTATGCTGTATCTCCAGTTGTCGAGAATTGCTGTGATAGGGCCACACAAATTCCATTCTTGACAAGCAAAGGAGTCAAAGTCCTCATAAAATTCTCTCCATTTTCTGTGTCTGTAGCAAAAAGACCAATCAAGGTCCATCTAAAATGGAGGAGCACTCGGATAATTCCTGGGTACAGGATGCCTTTTGAGGGTAGAAGTCGGTTATAAAAGGGCAGTTGACTTTTATCACGCAGTGACTCTGAAAAAAATTCAAAACTGATCTGAAAAAGCAATGAAGAATATTGTTGGAATCCTTCATAAAATATATCTTAATAAATATGTATTAAAATTAGAATTACATAGGTTAGGTAATTATTTTACAAGTAGTATAATGGACACTAGAATAACATTTCAATATAAATAGACATGAATAGACTGTAGTCCTTCTTTTCATTAAACTAGACATACCCAGTTCCTGCAACTGTTCCTCATGTGATTTAGCCTCCAGTCCCCTAATCATCTTTGTTGCTCTTCTCTGCACTCTTTCTAGAGTCTCAACATCTGATGAACTTCATCATAAATATTTAAGGATAAAAAATAGTAAACATGCGGGTTAAAATGTTGACCATTGAAAATATTATTTTTGTTAACATTATGTACAAAGGATGATTTCCCATCTCTGCTGTACCTTCCTTTTGTATGGAAGTCCCTTTGTTTGAACATACAAAAAAGACCCAAAGCAATGATGACGATGTCATAAGAGGATATCTCTGTTTTGATCCTTGCCTCCTAAACCCTGTAGATCCCAATTCCTAACCATTTCACCTAGAATGGCCATGCTGAAAAGCAGTTCTTCAATTTCAAAGTGAAGATACGGTTGGATCTATCACATACCAACTTACCAGCCCATTCAACTTAACAATAGAAAAACACACATACAAACCTGAGGGACTTTGTAGGGGCCTCCTAAGGTTGACATCTGGATGGAGATGTCATCGGTAGCTGCATCAACAAGAGCCAAAAGGTGGTCCTTCCTTCCACAGCTGTAGTTGGGAACATTGGCTTCTCCCATTGAGAGCATGTCTAGCAAGGCATCTGAAGTCACAAGTCTGTTCAAATAGTTGTCGTGGATGTTGTAACCAAGTGTGAGGTTTTTCAGAAGTCCAGGAGTCTTGTTGACCACTTGAATATTAAAAATGTAGCGTAGGATTCTTAACATATCAAAAGGTAAACTAATATAAAAATGTTCATGTTATCATCGTCATCATTAACAGCAAAAGCAAAATATTTTTTCAATTTAATTCTTTTTGCCTTCTGATGCTTAAGCCAATACTGATCCAAAACTAAAGGCAAATGATAGCTAACCATCACCTTTTCTTTTCAATGAGTGTTGGGAAGATCACTGAATAACTGGAGACAGTTTTCCACTAAGGTTAAAGGTAAAGGTAAAGGTTCCCCTCGCACATATGTGCTAGTTGTTCCTGACTCTAGGGGATGGTGCTCATCTCCATTTCAAAGACGAAGAGCCAGTGCTGTCTGAAGACGTCTCCATGGTCATGTGGCTGGCATGACTTAACGCCAAAGGTACACAGAATGGTGTTACCTTCCCACCAATGGTGGTCCCTATTTTTCTACTTGCATTTTTTACATGCTTTTGAACTGCTAGGTTGGCAGAAGCTGGGACAAGTCACGGGAGCTCACCCCGTTAAGCAGCACTAGGGATTCAAACTGTTGAACTGCCAACCTTTCGATCAACAAGCTCAGCATCTTAGCCACTGAGCTACCGCGTCCCATCCCACTAAGGTTACGAATCATACATAAATCATTATTTGTAACAGCAGAAATTTTCAGCTGCCAAGTAACCAGGATTCAAAATCATTCAATCATTAAAGTACAATCATTATTATAGGAAGAGGTTGTTTTATAAGTGACCCAGGAAAGCAATTCTAAAATCAAGTCATTCTCTGACCCTATAAGGATCAGGTATTGAATATGAATGAGCAATTATAAAACTATATAAATGGGCTGGGCAGAGGCAACTACAACTCATTCACTAACTACTTTAAACTAAAATTGGTATTCAAGTGATAACTCATGATAGGACCAGGAAAGGATCTGTACTTTTTCAGGTATTTTTTTCCTGCCCCATTTCTGGATTTGAGCTTTTTCTACAAAATAAGTCAAACGGAGGAACAATGGAAATCCAGATAGTTCAACAAATTAGACAGGTCCTACGATATAGGCATAAGTGAAATAAGAAGAAAAGAATGAAAATGTTAGAAGAGCAAATAGAGCAGTGGTGGGTTTCAATTTTTTTTACTACCGGTTCTGTGGGCATGACTTGGTGGGCATGGCAGGAGAAGGATACTGTAAAATCTCAATTCCCACCCCACTACAAAATCCCCATTTCCTCCCAATCATCTGGGACTCAGGAGGCAGAGAATAGATGAGGTGGGGCCAGTCAGAATTTTTACTACCGGTTCTCTGAACTACTCAAAATTTCCACTACCAGTTCTCCAGAATTGGTCAGAACCTGCTGAAACCCACCTCTGAAATAGAGGGTTTAGGATTACACCACCACACTGAATGACTTACGTGTCAAACTGATTATAAGGAGCGCTGTCGAAAAGCATCATTGTCATACGCACTATTTTTGTTCCAGTGGTGATCATACTAATGAGATGGTCTCCTGGCCTGTAATAGCTCCATGGTTTTTTTCTACTCTGGTGCTTCAAATTCAATGGGCACTTCATCCTAAGCCTCCCAGAAATTGGCTGGACTAGAAGGATCAGAAATAGAAGCCGAAGATCCATAATTCATAGGTCTGAATCAATCCCCGTCCCGTTTCTAAGAAAGACCAAGAAGAAGAGTTAGATGAATTCAAAGCATCTTCACAATTTGGAAATTCTAGTGGCTTTCATGATTCAGACAGAGACAAACCAAGCTTCACCTGGAAAAGACAGAATGTACATTCAGTAGCACAGTCCCTACCTGTCCCAAAACCTGTGCCACAATGTGTGTAACTGAGGTATTTATCCTTTTCTGATGTAAGATGTTGATTCTGTCTGATGTTTACCTCAAAGAGAATCACTGGAGAAGTAGCAGAAGACATCAGAGGCCAGAATTTTGAAAATTACAGAGAGAAGCAACTTCTCCTCTGGGAAGGCCAAACTTCTTCAGGGCTCCATTTCCAGAGGAATTAAAAAAAAATCTTAGTGAAAAATAATAGTTCCATCCCTGGGGGCATTATTCTGTAGTGGTTGTGGTCTTTTCTGTCAGGTCTTGTCCAGAAAGTGATGATGGAAAATGATCGTTCAACACCCAGATGACTTCTGCTGTTTTTCCAATGTAGCAACTTGTCTCCAAAGACCATTGGGAAAGTTCATCCATCCAGAGTTATGGAGTTTGGTGATATTCTAGGTTGGTGGCACTCTCTTCTAATGCCAATTAAATAATCAATATTTTGAACCCTGTCTAATGTGAAGAGTTGGGCCTGTTTGTGATTTTCTTTTCTGTTAGATATCCATTTATGACTCCTGATTACTTGTGACTGAGGAGAAGTTTTATTTCCTTTTTTTATTCTAGAAATATCAATTTTTGGATGAGAGTTGACTAAGAGCAGGAAAATGACAACCTGTGTGCGGACTGTTCCATTTGCTTAATAGGGAGAAAGTTATAGAGTGGAATTAACTTTTTTATTTTTTTTCTCTCTCAGTTGTCCTTCCATATTTGTTTAACACACTGAGAAACTTTATATTGTGAAGCTTTTTTTTTTAATTTTTTTATTAAGTTTTTAAATAAAGACAAAAGACAAAACACAAAACAACACCCAGTGTATAATACAAAATAGGGAGAAGCGGAGGAATTTTTTCTCCATCTTCAGGTCTTCCAAAATTCTCTTTGCATTGGCACTGGCATTATGTCTTCCAAGTTCCAAGAATTGGTGGGAGAAGATACAGGTTAATAATTGGAATAAGAAATATAAGGATAGAATGAGGGTAGAAAGGTTAAAAACGGAATTTGAAGAAATAGTATCCCAATTAGGAATGGAAGAAATTGGAATTAAGGGATTGGTTAGTAAGGTATATAAAATTATTAATTTGGATAGTAATTTACAAATGGTGATGAAAGATAATTGGGTAAAAGATTTAGAAACGGATATTACAGAACAGGAATGGATTTTGAATTGGAATAGTAGAATAATGAGGACCTTATCAATAAGAATGAAGGAGCATAGTTATAAAGTTATCTGGAAATGGTACCTGTTCCCAATAAGATTATATAAAAAGAATAAAAGTGCTAGCAAGTTATGTTGGAGATGTAAAGTGGAGAATGGGACATATGAACACATGTGGTATGGATGTCGTAAAGTGAAGAATTTTTGCTTACGAATAGAAGAAGAATCTAGTAAAATAATTAAAAAGAAGGTAAAGTTGGGAGTAGATACCATTCTCATATTAAAGTTGAATGACAAGGTGTTAACAATTGATGAAAGAGAGCTTGTAAGGATATTGGTCATTATGGGACGAATTGTGATTGCAAGATACTGGAAATTGAATATTGAATACAAAATAAATGAATGGTTCAGAGAAGTTTGGAAAACTGCTCTTAATTCTGAAGCTTTTTAAAAATTTTACTAGACATAAAAAGGACTGCGATGGCAGCAATTCCCACAGCATGGTCCATGGTGCCATCTGATTTCTTGCCATACCCTTCCAGAAACTGCTTTAGTAGCAATCGTAGCGACTTCGATATAAGTCGAAGCGACTTATATACCACTTCACAGTTCTTTACAGCCCTCTCTAAGTGGTTACAGAGTCAGCTTATTGCCCTCAACAATCTGGGTTCTCATTTTACTGACCCTGGAAGGATGGAAGGTTGAGTCAACCTTGTGGTCCCTCTTCTTTTTCTTGTGTATGTAGTTGGTTGTCCCTTTGGCCTACCCATCTCTGAGACAACCCCAAAGATTGCCAAGTACTTGGTGAGTGTGGTTAGGAGGTCCTCTGTTCCTGATGTCACTGAGTCATTTTTTTTTGTTCTTTTGTGATTACATTTCTTACCTGGAGGGAGAGGACATTGATATGTATACCAGTGGTGGGTTGCTCCTGGTTCGCACCGGTTCGCAAGAACCGGTAGTAAAAAAATTTAGTAGTTCAGAGAACCGGTAATAACATTGGCTGGCCGCGTCCCTGAACCAGTCCCCAGCCCAGTCGCTGCTTGCTTACCCCGCCCACCTCATCAGAGGCTTTTTTTTTTTTACTTTTAAAAGCATTTTTTCTACAAAGTCTTCGGCTGAAAAAATGCTTTTAAAAGTTAAAAAAAAAGCCTCTGATGATCGTGCGGCTCAGCTGGGATTTTCAGAGGCTTCTGAAAACATTTTTTCTGCAACCTCTTCAGCTGAAGAGGTTGTAGGAAAAAAAAAATCCCTTTAAAAGCCTCTGATTTGCCTCTCAGATTTGCCTGATTGTCAGAAGCTTCTAAAAGCATGTTGTCCTGCAATTTCTTCAACCGAGGATGTTGTAGGGAAAAAAATCCCTTTAAAAGCGTCTGGTAATCCCAGATGACTTGCCTGATCGTCAGAGGCTTCTAAAAACATTTTTTTCTGCAACCTCTTAAGGTTGTTGAAATAATGCTTTTTTTAAAAAAAAGTTGGCCACACCCACCCAGTCACATTACTCCCAAGCCATGCCCACAAAATAAGCCATGCCCACAGAACCGGTAGTAAATTTTTTTAGAATCCACCTCTGATGTATACCTTGTCCTATAAGATTTAACTGGGGGGGAGGTTGAGTGAGAGAGGGAAGCTGTCAGGAAAGGTAGAACTACCCTGACTGAGACAAGTAGAATGTGGCTCATTCTTTATGATAATCAAAGGTTGTCCCACTGTAGGGCCTTAGGCTTCTACTCACAGTGCCTGGCTACCAGTGTCGGACCTGGAAGCCATCTTTCTACCTTTCAGCCATCACGCTTCAGGCCTGCCACAAATTCTACTGTGGGAAAATGGGAGGGGGGATTGTATAGACTGAAGAGGATATGTAGTCAAAATAACATTCTTTCTAGAAAGTCAAGGCCTGGAGCTGTGCTGAGAAGAATGAGGAGGTATCTTCTGTTCCAGAGGGTACCTGATTGGTTCGTGTGGTGGATATGTAGGTGAAAGGCAAGGGCTTGAACATTCTTTTGGGTAAGGAAAACCTGGAAGCCTTCAGATTCGGGTTTTCCCAGATGTGCCAATATCTAAACAAAATTAGCTTTGAGGAACCTCAAGCCTTGGAGTTTGATTTCGTTGGGGACTTCAGGTTCCAGCTGTTATTTTGAATGCCATGTTGATGCCTAACAAGTTTGCTTTCTGGACTTTCTGGTTTTTCTTTGAAGATGTTTTGCTTCTGCATCCAAGAAGCTTCTTCAGCTCTGATTGGATGGTGGAGAATGCAAAAAAGAATGCAAATGACTAGCTGTCTGTGAGGAAGGTCCCTTCCAACTAAGTTATTCTATTTTAATAGAATAGAATAGCCTCCTCAGGGTGCCGTCGGTCAGGCAATGTCAGCTGGCGGCCCCCAGGGGGAGAGCCTTCTCTGTGGGGTCACCCGCCCTGTGGAATGAGCTGCCTCCTGGAATATGATTGATCCCAGACCTCCGGACCTTCCGTAAAGCCCTGAAGACGTTTTTATTCCATCAAGCCGGCATAGCCTAAATGGTTTTTAATTGGAATTTTAAATTTTATGGATTTGGGGGTTTTAAATTGGGAAGCTAGTGATTTAATTCTTTTTAATTATCTTAACTTTTGTATTTGTATGTTTTTTAATTTTGGCTGTTCACCGCCCTGAGTCCCTTCTGGGAGAAGGGCAGTATATAAATTAAATTAATAAATAAATAAATAATAAATAATATACTTTGATTCTGTGGAGAAAGACCAAGGAAAGATGATGCTTCAAAGAAAGATTGACAATTGTGTCAATCCAAGGAATGTCCTGCTTTCTCTTCCCCCTCCCCCTCCCCCAACACAAAAACAATTACACACACATGAGGGGGGGGGAATATGCTAATTTTTGAACTCCATTTCAGCAATTAAACCTCTCAATGTCTCAGGAATTGTGGAAGGGACGAAATGAAAGGGACACAATGAAAGATTGTCTGGGGTGCTCTTAGTATTGGTTCTCAAATCAAACCCAATTAAAACAGATTTCCAGAGATTACAACATGGGCATTTTATTGTAGATCTTTGAAGAATTGAAAATGTAAAGAACACAAAGAGACATTTTATCATGCTTAGTGAACACATAAATAAGCTTACACATTTGGATTCAAATACATATATTAATACAGAGACTATTAATGATAAATATCCAATTGAAGCCAGAATGCTTTATTTGAGGAATGAGGGATAAAAAGTTGGAGAAATGCTGTAGATGATTATTTCAATATATTTCAATATATGATTATTGTGGTCTCAGCTTGTCGTTCGTTCAGAACTGCGATAGTAAATAATCACCAGTAACGCACAGAGAATCAGGGTTTACTTTGGCAATGGTAAGCTCGCAATCAAAAGTAAAGTACAAATCGGTGTTTTGGTTCAAAGTCAGCGCTGGGTGTAACCACACCACAGCGCTATTTAACAAAACTCAGCCCCTTAAACATACATCCGGTGATTATCAATCAATCACCCCCCACTCCCTTAAC